TAAGCTTGCTTTGTTCGGTACCCGGAGCCCGGTACTGTATTATCATAGAAATGAAACATTTCTATTCTTATTCCTTGACTTAATATTATATAAAAGACGTGCATTCCTTATACTTAGATATACATTTGTATGATCCTTTTGCATTAAATTATTAGTACCTAGTAATAACTAACTGAAGCAATTCTCTCTTCCTAAAGTTCCTAACTTATACCGCTATGAATATAGAGAAGTGGCAACACTGTCTGGAGTTTGTGGTCTTTTCTGCCTTTTTTTTGAGAAAGCGAAGGTAAACTGGTTTCTCCGAACCAAATCGTGCGTCTTTAGTCAGGGGCTCTCATGGAAATTTTTGGCAGGTACTTGTTATGTTATCTATACTTCACAAAGAATTTTGGTCTTTTTGGGGTCCGTTATTTTTTAAAGAACCCTTTTGTTTTTTGTCTTTTTCCCTCGAGTCAAAACATTGTTAGATTCGTTCCTGGAACCCTTAATTTTTTCATCAATTTATAATCGTTTTTTGCAGAATGCGTATTCAGCATTGATTTTTTTCAAAATATATATTTCAGCATAACATTGACGAGTCATGAGAAATATTATTTAGGTTACATTTTAAATAATCTGATGGTACAATTTCTGGAAATTTTTTCGAAAAAAAGACTCCTTGTAATTAGAAGTTAATAAGAGAGGATTAATATGTTTCATGTTGATAATTTTGTATATTTTGCTTAAATATTAAAAAAAGAGCACTTCCTTATAAAAACTGTTGAAGTAATTAGTAAATGATGACGTGAATGTATCGTCATGTTTTCTTCATTGAAACGGATATGCATGAATAAGTATTTGAAATATATAATAATTTTATTACCACGGTTTCGTTCCGCCTATGAGTGTCCGACATCTGTCGAATCTTTCAAGGTTCTCTAGGCCAGGGTTCAGGCTCCTCAACGTTGTTGATGTGCTCGACGGTTTCAGATTATTTTTAAATTGCTGAATGATGAAGTTTCTGGTGCAGTTTTTACATACTCGCTCGATCATTTCCTGTTTATACTTTTTATTGAATTTCCATTGTATTTTATCATCTGCTTGTTACATACCGTTAGAAGTCATAGGAACTTCTTTATGAACGCGTGTTGATTAAATACTGTCCGGTCGTCATTTTCTAATCATAGTGGCTTCACTTTCCTAACGGAATAACTACCGGGAGTTGGTGATAAATATCTTTTTTTTTTTTCGGATTATTTTCCAAATTTTGATGTTGAAACGTTTTTCAATAAAAAAAATTGTTAAGAGTTGGAAAGTCTACGAGCTCTACCATTATCAAATGAAAATTTGTGACCAATTTATCAACAGTATTATTTGTGTAGGTTAGGCCGCAACCCGCAAGGGTTTATTGTGGCTCACACCTATTCGTACTCGACCAAATAAACCCAGCTTCTTACATTCAAATCTAGTATATTTTGAGTAAACGTTTTCAAGTGATGAAATCAATCGAGGAAAAATACAAACATACTTAGAAAATAAATATTTCAAATTTACACATTTTTCTGGGTAGGGATCTGGGAGAGGTAATTTAATTCGAAATATTTATTATCATACTACATTTGTATCTCTCCGACATGAACTTATAAACTTCTTTTCTGCTTGAAGCTTTGTTCACGAGATGGAGCTATTACTAGCTAACAGAGTTGGTTCAGATGAAAGTTTCGTATGTGCTGTCTTGTTGGATCTCTCCTGCACTGACGAGTGTAATACCCTGAAACCTTATGAAAACGCTTCATGCTATTGTATAGCGAAACACGTGTTGCGTAGAAATCGCTCAATAAAGTGTTACTTGAATAATCCCTAAACTGGTCTTTAAGAAATCACTTGATTGATTTCAGCGAAGTCCTACTGCTGGAAGAACGAAAAACTCTTGCAAAAAGTTGTCCTTTGTGGGAACTTGCAATGTCTGTAGGATGTAGGTAATTCAATGACGATCGTGGTATTAGCAGGAGAAGTAGTTGTTTTCCGGCAGGCATTTGCCACACCCTACATAATCTCTCAACGTTGCTGTTAGAAGAGGCGAAGACTAAGAATTTCATTTGACATACTCATTTCCTTTGGTTTTCAAGTGTTTCAAACCAAAAACTGTAATGACTTCATAGCATTAACGGGGAAACTACTATATAGGTTGATGTTAAAAAGGCAATATGAAGGGATTTTCGAAAAACATTCGGCCTTTCAAATGTTGCTTTTTTAAAAATTCACTCATGAAATTTAAATCTTGCGATTGTTGCGTTGGTTAAAAGTTTTGTAGACTTTGTAACCCTGTATGGGAGCGGGCCCGACTCGCTTCTAGAACCGTTCAATATTCTGAAAGTGCGTATCTTGCAAATTTTGTCTGGTCCCTATTAAGCTCATTGTATTAGGATACCATTGATTTTCATCCTCTTGCAATAAGCTGGCGCTTGCGCACCTTGTTTACTTACAATCTACTGGGATGTAGGAATGAGAATTCATAGCCAAGTACGAGGATTTTTTTTTCCAGAAAGATCGATATTCAAGTGTTCCATTTCATTTTAATTTTCGAACTATTTTTTGTATATTTCTAATAACACTAGGAAATTAAGATAAAATTGAATGATTGTAAATTAAGATCGAAATGTTTGAATCGTGCTGTTTGTTGTTTTGTTTATTGTTTATAGGATTATTAGGATTATTATTGCAGAAAAAATCAATTATTCCGTATGACAACGAAATCCTTGTTCATGGCTTCATTAAGTGTCTTGTGAATCAAAAAATGTTAATATTTGGAACCCGATATTTCCACTGATAATACAATTGAATATCTGTGAATGTTCAACCAGTGAAATTTTTATTGCAAAAGGTCGGTAACATAGAATGAAATGGCGTCAAAAAAGAAGGTTCCGATTTTTTTTGTTATAATCATTTTTAAATTAATGTTTCGGTGAGATAAGCGTTCAAATCATAGGGCTCTAAGTCTATGGGAAGTTTTTCTTTTGAAATCTCTCAATTTTCTTAATCCGTTTTATGCTGTTAGGAAGATGCTTGAAAAGCTTGATTGACATATAGTGGTCGCTTTTTTTCAGTTGCTGTTAGTCTATGAAGGGGATACATATATTCATTTATTTTAGTGGTATACTTATGACCAGGTATATTTATTATATTCTTAGTGAAGAGGTGTGAATTTTTATAAATGAACATTAGGCATTCATAGATAGATATAAATCGCGTAGATTGTCATTATATTGGTAGATTTGAATACTGTTCTGCAAGTTTGGTTATATTCTTATTATTCTTTTTTGAACTATGAAGATTTTTTGATATTTCGATTGCTACCCAAAAAAAAATAATTCAGTATCTAGCAATCGATTCGAAGTTAACCTTGTATATTGTTTTTGTAGCCTCGTTGTGCAGATATTTTGATGTAAGTCTAATTCCATACGATATTCCATCCGATGTTTGCGAGGTTATCAATATGACAAAAACAATTCATGTTCTCGTCAATGTGAATTCCTAAAAATTTGGTGTTGTGGGACAGTTGAAAAGAAGAGTTTTGAAGGTCCACCCTAACTGGATAATCAATGTTGTCTTGGTTTGTTCTGAACAAAATAATATGTATATTCGATTCATTTAGTATGAATTTATTTTTATTGAACCTGTCCTTAGTTTTGTTGAATAGATCTGTAGTATTTACCATCATCTATGGGAAGGTTTCACCACCAGATAACAGACTTGTGTCATCTGCGAAGATAGTTTTGAACTGACCGTGTATTTTTTTTTAGACTATTTGACAGGACATAAAATACTTTTTTCAAAAGACGATCCCAAGTGACCATTTATTTTCATAATGGCGGTGTAAAAGCACTTTTTTTCAAATTCAATGTGGCGACACTATGATGTCATCTATGGAAATGTTGTCAAACAACTTGATTGTCACGTGTATTATATCGTTGAAAAGAGAATTTTATGTCCTGAAAAATGCTAAAAAATATACAGGGCGGAATCTGTAATTTTTGACTGGGTTCATTTCCGTTTAAACCGGTATAGATTGCCAGTTGTTTATTCCGATTTTTTTTTACCTACCAACTGAAGGCGGCTTGTAAAATAATGTCACCCGATATACAGTATCATTATTTTTTAGTTATGATGTAATATAAAAATTTCAAATCCACTTATCCCACTTTCTCAAAACAATTCATAATTTTTTTGTTTTGTTATCTCAGTTGAACATAATGCTACTTAAGATTTCATTATAAATAGGCACTCATTGGGTGGGCATATTTTCAAACATCTCGCTTATATTTCTAAAAAGTCCAGTCTCATAACATAACTTTACATTTCTATGCAAAAATTATTCCAGTGATGATAAATATGGCGATTGTGAAAAATAGAACGAATGTCATCTGTCTTGGCAATGGACCTCTTTGGGGAGCCTCCTATTTTTTATATTCTTGAAATGGGGCTTCTGTCGAACTCATAAATGGATTCTTCATGAAGGGATATATCACCGCCTTACATTAATGACTGCCAATTTTCATCTAAAACAANTATTGTGTTCTATTGCCCAGGTAACTTTCAAACCATTTATATGGAATGCCCCTAAATCCATACTTTTCTAATTTATCTAGTAGGATTTTATGGTTAACCAAATCAAATGCCTTACTAAGATCCAAGAAAACACCCAGGATTCTCTTTCCTTCATCTAGCCAATACCACTAGTTCTTACCTTGATTGTCACCAGTGTTACAGACATATTGGCTACAGATCCTCTTTTGGGGGGGGAGGGTTGAAAGTAGGCATATTGAATCTTCCCTTTTGAACTGTTCAATGACATTTCCAATAAGTTATTTCAAAAATTTCCGTCTTAAGTTGTCACAGTTAGTCTAAAGTTTCCATTTCAGACTATTCAAGGAGCCTAATAGTCTTTGAAAATATGCTACGAAAGTTGTTTGGCAGTGATCTAGTTTCAATCAGTAAATTCAATGAATGCTTATTTTCAGACCATGTTGGACAAGGAGAAGAAACGTTTCCACGAGATGGCTGAGAACGACAAGAAACGTTACGACACAGAAATGTCGACATACACTCCACCGAAAGGGGAGAAGCAGAGAGGAAAGAAGAGGAAACAAGTAAAGGATCCCAATGCACCCAAACGTTCATTGTAAGTAAGCAAATATCGAAACAAGAGTCATTATTTTTGCCTGCTATAAACTAGTGATTTGAAAAATGTTACTAATGAAGTATTGTTTGTTTTCAATTGTTGCACATGGTGATATCTTTCAGTATCATATATGACATATAACAATACAATATGAAGTAGAATATGTTCCATATTAGACAATGAAGCATAGAGCCAATTTCAATAAAAAGTTCTCAATATCAATAGTCCAAGACGAATTTTCAACTTTGTCTGATATTCAGTTCCGTTTTTATGGGGCACCTCTCTATCTACCCAAAAATCTATGATCCAAAAAAATTGAATTATCAATACTAAATAAATCGAGAACTGACCACTGAGCCTGTCTTAAAAACGTTCAAGGGGCCGCCTGTTAAATCTAAAATAACATATATAAGTTAGCCTCACACTCTGACGTCCATTCATATTCTACTAGAAATAGAAACCTAATATTTCCACTTAATATAACCTAACCTACAATAGTTCACTAAATATGAGTGAAGTTGGCAGAAAGCATCACCGATTGTGCCACACTTTTTAAATTCAAAATCAACCTCAAGTCATTTCTGATAATTTATTTCATTTTCTGTAGTAATTTTATTAAATATAGTAAGCCCTACTAGAATTATAGCTAGATAATTATCATTATTCAATAAAAATTTTTTTCTGCATAGTTTGATCAATCAGCAGCTACTCGCTATGGTTGTTTGGTTATATACCTGTGCTAAATTAAATAAGGGAAAATGTAGAAGCTTTGAAAAATTTTCAACCACTTCAAATGTCGATAAGTTTTCCAACACTCTTTAAAACAAACATGCATCTGTAAATTGATTTGTTTCTTAATCTCCCGTAATCTTTGAATGGCTTAGAATTTATTATCAACGTGGTATAATCTTTTTCAGGTCAGCATTCTTCTGGTTTAGTAATGATGAACGTGGTAAGGTTAAGGCTCAGAATCCTGAATATGGAGTAGGTGATATCGCCAAAGAGTTAGGTCGAAGGTGGGCTGATGCCGACCCAGCTGAAAAAGGAAGATACGAAGCTCTCGCCGACAAAGACAAGGCCAGATACGAGAAAGTAAGTTGTAACTGCTGGAAAACAAATCTTTGACATATTGGCTGACTTTTTGTAAAATATGCTTTATGAAAATGATTGTTTGTATACCCCCATTCGCTCTGTAGTAGTATGATTCTTAGTTTTCATTTATTCAATTTTCAAGATTGGGTATTCTTCATGTGGATTACAACCCGTCTTTTGTGCTCTTGAGGTTCACCCCTCTCGCTAGAAACCTTTTGCTTGGTCCACATAATTACTTATCTCTTGAAGTAGACCAAAACTCGCAAGTGCCATGTTCATTATCTGACAAAAATACACTAACCTTATTAAAAACTTTCAGAGATCTAGCACAAAGATCAAGGATCTACTTTATTTTTCATATATATTAATTCAATAATAATACTACTGATTTACGGCGTTTTAAGTCCCTATGAGGCTAATAGAGATATTATATGCTACAGCAATACTATGGTTAAACTATCTGGATATTATTTTTGTTGTGTACATACTCCTGTCGAAAACATTATAAAAAATCTGACCATGCCTTCTCCAAATATTCATTGGTTTGGAGTTTTTTCTTTCAAGTTTCAAGGGCGTGTTTACACAACGTAATAGAAAAAGCATATGTATGAGTGCACTATAGAAATTTTCAACCTACATGTGAGAATGATATTGCATTGGAGTTTGTAATTTTTGTACAGCTTGTTATATGTAGAAAGAGCTTTCTAAATTACGATATGTTCATGTCTTAGAAAGTATTCAATGTGACGGTTTTTATCCTCTTTCAGGAAATGACTGCTTACAAAAAGAAGAACAATCCTGCCATGCAGCAAGCTCAACCCGTACCTGAGGTAGAGGAACCTGAAGAGGACGAGGAAGAAATAGAAGAAGATGATGATGAGTAGATTGTAAGATAAACTCGGTAAATCGCCTTCTCATTCCTCTATTGTAAATATACATATAGAAGTGTATTATCTCTCGTTCTCTTTTTTTTTACCCAATCGTGTGTACTTACAAACTGGACAGTGTGAGTGAGCTCTTCGTTCCTCCTACTTCATGACGATCAGTTTCAGTTTTTAAGTGTGTCGTGTTTTTTATATTTTTATTCTGCCTCGTGCTTTCGTCAACCTGAATCGAGCAGAGGGTTCAAATTATGCAACCTACAGATTTTATCCAGTAACGTCATTTCATAGAAGTTTATTAATATTAAGTGGTGTGTATAATCTTTCCAAGTTTTACATGACTGAAAATTAGTCTGTCGAATTGGTTGTCGTTCACTTCAGCTACTGATTCAGCAGGCACTGGACGTGGAATAAAATTTCACGCGTAAATGTCTTCATTTTATGTACAAATGATTTAAATCTGTAGGTGCAAGTTTTATTTATTTCAGAAACAAATATTAAGTTGTAAGTAACACTTCTAGTATAATTGTACCCTGTTTGCCCCCTACAGTATAAGCAGAGCAGTATATTTTATTATATAATTTCCGTTGTTGATAGTTAATGGTTCAAACCAAAGCGCGGAGAAGATGACGTTGAAAAATAATTTTTTGACATTTTCTCCAGATGTACATTCAAAGCGGGACAAAACATTAAGAGAGTAATGCTAACAAAGCATGTTCTTAAAGATGTTATATAAGAGGTTCCGAAATGGGCTGAGAGTATGCTAGGAGACTCGAAATTTTGAGTTTTCATAAGTTTGTTTCTGTTTGATTTCCCTTTTTTATGATTTGAATGTTTTGTGATTTTTTGATACTTTCAGTTTTTCCGAACTTTTTATAATCCAAAATATCCACTGTACAACACAAAAGAATTTGAAATTCATCCAATGCGAAGTGAAATGTCGATTTCTGTAGTTTCAAGTGGTTATTTTGAAAAATTTACTTTTATAAGTAAACCTATTTATTTTTCATCAGTCCTATACACCACAAACTTTTTATAAAATACCAAATGGAACATAAAAAAAGAGAAAATATTGAAAAGACAAAAATAAGCCAAGTTATTACTTCATATTAAATGAAGGTATGCATTTTTATTTGTCAAGTTGTACGTTATGTTCAAATAAAAAAAAATATGATTGAAAGAAATAATAAACGACTATTCAGAAGTTTAATGAACAATCTCTTGATGAAGTCGTCTAATTGCCATTTTTTTTATTTTGAATGTGACAAATGAAAAAATGCGATTGCTAATTAAGAATCTTGAGTTAACAGAAAGGCAAAGGTTATCTAAAATAGCTGAACAATTGTAGTGGAAGTTTATTATTTTATGAAGGAATAGAACCATTGCAAGTTTACGTCTGTCCTCAAGTGATAATAAACCTAATACAGACAGCCTCATTTGCGAGGTAAATCCAAAGTAGGGTAGGCCAAGTTTCCAAATTATATATTTAGAGGAGCGATTTTGCACTTTTTCAAGCCTCTCTTTATGGCAAGCATAAAGAGGACACCAAATAACACTATTATTTTCCAAAATACTCCCAACCAGTGAAAAGTATAATGTCTTTATAGCAATCATATTCTGTAATATGCCGGGTATTTCTTTTGATGAATCGGAGCATTCTGAATGCTTTACAACAGATATTATTGACATGATCAATAAAGCTTAGTTCTTCATCGAAAGTAATTCCCAAATCGCATAAGCTTTTGACAGTTTGAAGAGTTGCATCATTAATGGAGTAGTTCCCAATGACAGGCTGTGTTATTCTATAAAATCTCAACACATTACATTTCTTAATGTTAACTTCAAGACAATTAGTATCACAGTAGGAACAAAAGCTATCTAGGTCATTCTGAATACATTCAATATCATTGGTAGTTTGCACTGTTTTGAAAAACTTGAGGTCGTCCGCATACAGAGCGATATTACAGTGTTCAAACACTGATTTAACATCATTAATGAAGAGTAGAAATAATATAGGACCAATGTGCGAACCTTGCGGAACCCCTGAAGTCACATGAATTGTTACTGACACACTCAGCTATCTTCACATTCTGCGATCTACCGGAAAGGTAGGATTCAATAAATTCTGCACGTTATTCCAAGATTATTAAGTTTTAAAATTAATAGTTCATGACAAACTGAATCGAAGGCTTTAGCAAGGTCCGTGTAGATAACATCAACTTGAAACTCTTGCTCAAGTTTATTTGTGATGAAGTTTTGGTAGACAGCCAAATTGGTGGCAGTAGACTTTCCCTTGTAGAATCCATGTTGTTCATCTATTATGACGTTTTTGAAATTATTGAATATTTCATCCGTAATCAAAGATTCAAATACTTTGGGAATACAAGAAATTTTCGAGATACCCCTGTAATTCTGAATATCATTTCTGTTTCCACTTTTGAATACTGGAGAAAGTAAAGCTTTTTTCTGAACACCTGGAAAAATCCCTGTATCAAATGATCTTTGAAAAAGTATTTTAAGGGGATGTGATAAACTGTGACAGCAAATCCTTAACAATACTGGCGGAATTCCGACAGGACCCGCGCCCTTTGAGACATCTAGGTTTTTCAATATTTATAATTTTTTCAAAGGTTGTGCTGGCCAAAATTTTCTTCACCTTCGAATCCATTATTTCATCAGTTTCATTGTTATGTCAAAACAACTTTTGAAATACAGATTCATGAAAAGGGGAAACATATAGATCAGAGTTCGAAAGTGTACTGAATCGTTTTGAAAAATATTTTCTGAAATGTTGAGCTAGTATTTATACACTTTTTAGGTTTCTTGAAAGACTGCACTAATCTTCATGTAAATATTGCAAATACTGAAGCTGAAAAAAACTAATAAGTAGTATGATCCAGCATACTTGACACATAAGTTACGTTCAGATATTTGTAATGAGACTGGAGTGGAGTGACTATCGAACATTCTGAAAGTTTTGAAAGGACCAATATACGAAGAGTGGGAGTATATTTTATGACTAAAAATAATGAAATGTCACAAAAAACTCCCAACCGACTGACCTGAAACCCCAAAACCTTAAACAGCTGCTATTGCTAGGGTGTCCTACTGCCATTTTCATTCATATTTAAACATCAATAATAACATATTCAAAAAACACTCCCAAGGGCCGTTAAAGTACTACATAAGCACTATAGGGGGGCGGGTGAGCCTTTGCTTTACTTATTTTTGATGACATAGGAGGCGGGAGGGTTCTAGACGGTGATTATGTCAGCAGTAATTATTTCCTTTTTTACATATATGGCAACCCACACATTGTCTATGTATGAAAAATGCATATAAAAATGTTTACGTAAGCATTGGAGGAGGGTAACAGCTTAGCTTACTTTTGCTGAGATGGGGTGGGGGTAAATAGTTGTAATAAATATGCTTACGTAATACTTGATTTGCTCCTAATGTGAGATTTCCACTTGAAAGTTAACAAAACCGCGGCACGGTTTTTGCTATACGATAGCATTTTTGGGCATTTCAATTAGTGTTTGTACAAATTCTGTGCCGTGCTTTTATAGTAATTTGAATCATAATAAATTCATCATCCACTATTTGTCTATTTAAAAATGGATTGAGATCGTGAAGCTGGCCGTGGTACATTGAACGAACGTATACAGGTAAAATACAACAGCTTCATGGCTTTAATATTATGAAAGTTTCTGCAATTTTTAACAATGAAACCTTAAGCTCTGATAGATTCTGAAACTTTTTGTGAAATATGTCTACCAAATGTTAATTTATGATCGAATATTACCCCTAGGTCTTTGATTTCATTACATCTCAGCAGATCTGAATCCTGTATTACATACGGGAATGTATAAACCTCTTTTTTTTCGACTATAACCCACTACTTCACATTTCTCCACATTGAGTTTCAATTTATTATTGCTACACCAAGCAACAAGAAATTCTAATAGAGATTGAAGATTTACACAATCACCTACTTCCTTAATTATAGAAAATAATTTCAAGTCATCCGTGAAGCATAACCGCTCAGCTAAACTTTCACATAAGTCATTAATAAACAATAAAAACAAAAGAGGACCTAGGTTGGAGCCCTGAGGCACACCAGAAGAAGCTATATATGTTCTAGATTTATAACCGTTATAGGAGACGAATTGTTTTCTACATGTCAGATAAGATCGCATCAGCTGACAGGCAGTACTCGTAAAACCAAAACTCATCAGTTTATTGAGCAAAATACCATGATAAATTTTATCAAATGCTTTAGAGAAATTTTGTATATAACATCAACTTGGCCATTGTTATATCTAATGTCTCTGAAATAAATTGAGTAATAATGACTAGATTTGTAACAGTAGAACGCTTAGTAACAAATCCATGTTGATGTTGAGATAGTTGCCGTTGAACAGAAGCGTATATGCGATTATATAAAATAATCTCAAAAATTTTAGAAAACATACATAAAATAGATATAGGTCTTTAATTCTCTATATACGATTTTTCACCACTTTTGTATACAGAACATACTTTAGCTAATTTCCAAATATATGGAAATGTTCCAGATATCAGACATGAATTAAAAATTCCCGTTGAAGGTTTTGCCAATGCTCCTGCACAATCCTTCAACAAAAATGATGGGATCATATCTGGGCCTGATGTCAGTTTGTCCTTTAGTTTTTTAGTTGCAGATATAACCTCGAGCATGTCAAAGTAGTTGAGGGTTATACGCGTTTTTGGATCATTAACATCCTTTTCGATGAACTTCGGAACATTGAAATCGCCAAAAAAAAATTAAATTACCCTCATATAAATAATCTAACTGCTTGAATTCATCATGCAGAAATTTGGCAGGTAGTATTATTCATAATGATTCACAGACACAGAATTTGTACAAACAGTATTGTGACGCCCGAAGATGCCATCGTATAGCGAAACACGTGTCGCGATTTTGTGAAATTTTAAGTGGTAATCTGCTCACATTGAAGTGTGTTTTGTTAATACGTTATAATTGATGTTCATCAAGTATCGGTTATAATTTTAATATGAATAATAATAATTTTACAAACAACAATGATGAATGCTGTAATGCAAGTGCATAACAATTCAAAATACACCAAGACAATTGCGAATGCACATGTCCACTCCAAAAATCTATAGTTCCGAGACAGTTCCGAAGGAGTAACTCTTGAAATACTAATCGCCATAAATTGCACTCCTTTTATTCCTTTTCGAAAATCTAAAGGATTAAGGAGTGAAAAGAGTAACTGATGTTGATATCCTAATTCACCTATGGTTGATCTTCATAAGGTTTAGAAGCATATTAGTCGTTTCACTATTTGTATCATTTTCAGTCACAGTTGAGACCTGAAAAGTTTTACGTAAGTCTACTTTCAGTAACTAGTTTGATAAGGGAATACGCCTATTAAACTATCGAAACCCAGCAGAACAAATATATTGAAAAAATTAAAATTTCAATCCAATAATCTCTATTCAAATAGGCATCATAATTTTCATACATAATTTACAGATAGTAATTATAGAGACAATATATTATTATTCTATATATAATTTAAAGGCATGACTCATTCCTTGGTGGAGACGAAAACCGGTTGTCTGGGATTTCACGTGCGTCGGTACTTGGCACCTTGTCACCTTCCTTCGACCTCTGTATCAGCAGC